AGTTTTTCTCCAGGACAGGGCCCCAGCCTGGCCTCTGCCACCCTCCCCCTGGCCCCACGGCCCCCCATTCCCCACGACTCCAGGCACAGCTGCGCTCCGGCCCCGGCTGCGGACTGTGCTGATGGTCCCGGCCGTCTGACCTCCGAAGCGTCCTCCTCATCCCATCATCCCCGCCTCAGAAGCCTTCTGCTGCCCGAAACATCCCCTCGCGCCCCTTTCATCAGACCCCAGGCAGCTTTCTGTCCCATCCCCCTGTGGTCTGTTCGCCTGCCCTAAAGAGCCCGCCATCACAGCTCTGTCTCCCATGGAGTCCGCTCTGCCCCTGCCCAGCAGGACTGAGGACCCGCCTGCACTCCAGCTGCAACGTCCCCAGCCCCCATCCTCGTCCTTGGTGGCAGTCTTCTTCCCCCTCAGCCTGCTCCTTCCCGGAGACCTGGGCATGGGCTTCTGCCACGTGACTCTACTGCCCTGCAGACCCCAGTAAGGCCTCTGCGACCTCCACCCAACTCTTATCAATGGAGTCCAGATTCCAGACTAAATTTGGGGAGTCTCAGCCAGGGCCCCTTGGCCACCCCCCATCTCTCATCCTGCTGGGGTCACCCTCAGGAGCCCATCCTCCCCATGCCTGGCCTGCCCCACTCGGTCCTCCAGGGCAGGTCCTAACAGCACATGTGATGATGCAGAGTACCTGCAGGGAGGGGGCACCTCCCACAGATGCTGTGACTCATGTCCTGTTGGGAGTCCAGACCCTCTAACCAAGGCCCCGAGCCTGTGTTCTGAGCATCCTCTCTCCTGATCTACTGCCTGGATCTTGACTTGCTATGCAAGGAACCTTCCCTCCAGAGCTTCTTGAAAATTACCATTTGCATGTGCCCTGTTGTGGAGTGACCTCGTCCAGCGGTTAAATGACACCTGGGAAGCTGCAACATGGCCTGGACCCTTCCCTGAGAAGCCAAGCCTAAAGTAGCCCTGGGGTTATGTAAATTCATCAGGGGTTGGTCACAAGAAAGGTATGGGGGAAAGCTTGAACAAGGCAGGAGGCCCGTGCATACCTCGTGTGTGCCAGCGAGTGTGACCACTACTCAGTTACCACAATGGAGCAGGGGCTGGGGGCTCCTTCCCGCCTGCTGACGGGAGGATCTGGGGGCACCCACAGCCTCTCTGCAGCTGTTCCATCCACCCTGGCCTTTACCATTTACATTAGGATTGGAAACAGCCTTGCCTACTGGACCCACATTCCCAGGCCAGACACAAATCCCCCCGGCCCATGACATGTCCTTCTTCCATCCCACCCATCTCTGCAGAGAATACCTCGCGAGAGGAAGGCCTGAGACAGCCGAGCTGCGATTTTAATTCTGTACCACGAGTTTTCTCCTTTACTCCATTTATGGAACTCCTCCTGCCCAGGTCTTCTTGTCTTTGTCCCCAGTTGGTCTGAAGTGTTAGACTATAGCCCCTGGTGTGTAAATAATGTACATAGAGTGAGAAGAAAGAAACTTGATATCGCGGTGTTTGAAATATGGCGCTGTAATAACTTCTAGGTATTCTAATTCTGTGATTTCTGTGCCATTTTCTGTAAAGATACAAGCAAGAATAAAATTGACATCAAATAGCAGGGGAGGAATCCAGGAGTCCACCGTGGGTGGAACGGTTTGTGTCTGTGTGACATAAAAATGAAATCCACGGGGCCAGCAGGAGGCATAATGGTTAAGGCACTGGAGTCCCATGTGGCTGACTGTAGTTCCAGTCCTGGACCTGGGGGTTTGAAACTCACGCCGGGTGTGTGTGTCTGTGGGTGCTCAAAATCCCAAGAGGAGAATGGAGGAGAAGGGACTGTGGTGTAGCCATCTATCCTGGAGGGTTATTTTTCACTTTCTGTCTTGGTATTTCTGGTGAGTTCATGTGCCCTATAGCAAACATCTCTCTCTCAAAATAATAATAATAATAAAATCCACAAAGTGAATTTTAGGCCATAATCACTAGGTTTCTCTTTCAAAATCACTCCAAATATTGAGGCATAAGTGGCCTGCATCTCACTACTGGGTCACTAGCACCCTTCAGTGACATCTGTCACTGCCACAGAGGACCCTTCTCCATGGTAGAGACAACTCAAATCTTCCAGCTGCAGCACCCCTACGTTATTAACTATGACTCCCTCCCACTCCCCACATAGCAGATGGCGTTTCGCTTTCCCTCAGGTACTGACCCACCTATCATCCACCTGTTTCCTCACACTGCCAGTGAAGCTGCAGCCCACCTTGGCCCCCAAGAGCAGCCGCTCCCTCCACCTGTGCACACCTGTGCACTTGCGTGTCTTACCCTCAACCTAAACCACGACAACAAACAGAAAAGGTAACAGGCATTTGGAAGTGAAAACCAGACCTATGCACATTAGGTTGTCTGAAGGGCATGATGAATTTTTCTGTTTTTCTATGCAAAAACGAGTCATGACTTTCCTGACAACCCAGTAAAACAGTAATGTCCTGGGCCAGCAGGTGGCATGGTGGTTAAGGGTGCTGGACTCCCACATGGCCGACCATAGCTCAAGTCCTGGATCTGACAGCTTGCTTTCTCACTCCCGCCCCGCCTCACTCTGTCCCTCTCTGGTCAAATTAAAATAAATAAGTAAGTAAATAAATAAATAAATATAAATAAAATAATTCTTGGGGCTGGCAGGTGGTGTGGTGGTTAAGGGTGCCGGATTCCCACATGGCCAACCATGATTCAAGTCCTGGACCTGGCAGTTTGCTTTCTCATTTTCTCTTTTTCTCGCTGTCTCTTTTTGGTCAAACTAAAAAAAAAAAAAAAATAGTAATGACAAATGGAATTAAATAAATATTCTTTAAAAAATGATATTAAGTAATTAATACAAGTGGTACAGAAATTGGGCAAAAAAATAAATAAATAAATAACAGTGATACACAGACAACTGAACTTCAGGAAACACTGTTTTAGACTAAAAACTTTAGGCTTGGGCCCAGCAGGTGGTATAGTGGTTAAGGTGTTGTACTCCCACATGGCCAACTGCAGTTCAAGTCCCAGACCCAGTGGCTTGAAATTCTCAGCTGACGCGTGTGTGCATGTCCAAAATCCCGAAGACTGCATGGAAGAGAAGAGACTGCAGCATGGTCATCCCTCCTGTGGGGTGATTTCTTACCTTCTCTCTCTCTGTGTTTCTGGAGAGTGCACACACCCTATAACAAAAATCTCTAAAGAAACCTCTTAGGGCCAGCAGATGGCATAGTGGTTACGTCACTGCACTCCCACATGGCTGACTGCAGTTTGAATCCTGGACCCAGTGGCTTGAAACTCAGACCAGGCACGTGTGTGTGCATGCCCAAGCTCTCAGGAGGAAAATGAAGAAGAGACTGCAGAGTGACCATCCCTCCAGGGGGGTTGATTTCTCACTCCCTGTCACTGTCTCTTTCTCTTTCTTTGGTGAGTACACATGTCCTAAGGCAAAAACTTCTCAAAAAAACTTTAGGTTCAGTAACGTCCCACCTTCTGCTTTATGCTTTTTGGGTTCTGTTAAGTTTGTTGTTGCAGTTCCCTAATATAGATTACTTCTGAAAAATCCCAACCCGTTTTAGCTGATAACAGAAAAGGGATTTATTTTCACCTAGGTTACAACAAGAGACACATGGGCCCTAGAGGTTAGTGGCTCAGGTTCTAAACTGCACTACAGACAGACAGAAGGGGAGGTGTGGCCTGAAAACCAGGAGCAGGAGATTGCAGTACAGTGAAGAGAGGGCTGCCG